ATCTTTGATGGTACCAACACTCCCATTCCAGAGACTGAAGCTTTGGGACATTTCATTTGGTGGTTGAAGAATGATGGAAACTTCTTCGTTTTATTGGTGGGTCCATTTGTCACGTCTTCGTATCCAGAGCCACCTGGAGCACGATTCTGAAACTGCTCCAATTTCTCTCATTGCTCGTCTAAGTTGGCTAGAACTAGAATGTACCCCAATGTCTTTGAACAATGAGCGTAGAGACAAAGCTGGGAAGCCCCTGCACCCTACTTCTACAGGGTATAGTCTTGCTTGCCATCCTTTGCTCTGGGCTTCATGGATTAGGTCTTGGTATTTGTTGTACTTGAGTTGGTGAGATATGTCTATTCTTTCCTCCCATGGTACTGTAAGTTCTATCACTAGTATGGTTTTAGAACTTTCTGAGAGAAGTAGCATGTCGGGACGTAGTGTTGTTGCTACTATGTTCTGAGGGAAGACTAATTTCTTATCCAGGTCAACATGCAATTTCCAATCAGAGGCCTTAGACAGTGATGAGAGAGGAATTGACGGGTCTGTATTCTTAGTCCTTGGAGTTCGTTGTTTTCCCTCCAGTTGAAATGCTGTGAATATGGGCTTTGTGGGGACCAGTTGCTTGTTGTGTGTTCTAGCTCTGTCAACCCATTCAGCAATTTTCTGTAGGACTTTGTCGTGTCGCCATCTGTACCGGCCTTCACCAGATATACTCTTTTAAAGCAAGTTCTTTATTATAGGGCTCTTAATTATGTAATAATTTCCAGGTTTCCATGATATTATAGTAGAAAGGGGGTAACCTGGCTAACTTGTCATCGGGAAATTTTGAATGAAATATTGTCTCCGAGTCTAGATTAGGAAAAAAGCCGTAGAAATATTGCTTCCATTTGCTGGGCTTTTTCTGGTATAATCTTTTTACCCATTGTATTTGTAAAGCTTTTATTTGCGTTTCAAAATGTAAGCTCTTGATTCCCCCTTTTTCAATTTTTCCTATGGTTGTTAAGTTACTTATTAATGGAGGTTTTCTGTTCCATAAAAAGTTATTAATGAGATTTTGAACATTATTAATGATGTGTTTTGGTACAAGTATGGTTGATGCTAGATATGTTAGTTTTGAAATCCCTAGAGCTTTGATCAACACGTTTTTTCCTATTAAGCTAAAGTTCCTCCATTCCCATATTTTAAATAAGTTTTCTATAGATTTAATCTTAGGAGAGAAGTTAAGGTCATTCCGTTCGTTTATATTTTGACTAAACCATACTCCGATGGTGTAAAAATTTTCATTATTGATTTTAATTTTTGAGACAAGACTTTTTGATGCAATTTGTGGGGGTGATGTTTTAAAGAGACCTAACCATCTTCCTTCTGTTTTCTGAAGGTTGGGCTTGAGGCCAGAAATTTCAGAGAATCTTTTTAGAGTCTGAAGGGCATTTTCAGTTGATGCAATTGAATCGAGGAAAAAAGTTGTATCGTCTGCAAACATTGAAAGTTTAATCTCAGTATTATTCAAAATAATGCCTTGAATATTTATATTTTGTCTAATAGATAAAGCTAGTATTTCCGCCACTATTATGAAAAGGTATGCCGATAGGGGGCATCCTTGTCGAACTCCCCTAGAAGGTGAAAACATAGTCGATTGGTATCCGTTGTTGGATATACACGTTTGAGCATTTTTGTAAAAAGTTTTTACCCATTTGATCAATGTATTACCAAAATTGAATAAATTAAGAGCTTTCTCGATGAAATTCCAGTTGACAGAATCGAAGGCTTTCTCAAAATCGATTTGTAGGAGTAACCCGGGGATGTTACCTTGGTCTGTGTATTTTAAAATATCTTCTATAATTCTAATGTTTTCCCCTATGTATCGATCTGTTACATATGCGGATTGGTCGGTATTTATTATGGATGTTAAGGTTTTCCGTATTCTGTTAGCAATTGATTTGGTGCCTATTTTATAGTCGGTGTTTAAAAGGGTAATTGGTCTCCAATTTTGAGGAATAATCTAATTTTATCTTTTTTTGGAATTAAGGTAACGACTCCTTGTTTTTGTGAGATAGAGAGTTCTCCAGACTCAAAGCCATAATTCAAACTATCGACAACTAGATCTTTAATATTAATCCAGAAAAACTTGTAGAAGTTAGTTGTGAAACCATCAGTACCAGGAGACATATTTTTGAGAGATTGAGCACATTCTCCAATCGTTAACAAGCCCTCGCAAGACACCTTTTCATCTTCAGTTAACTTTGGAATATTCAATTGTTCAACAAAAATATCTATGTTTGGCGGTAGGACTTCATTATTTAACCTTTCGGTGTACAAATTTTCGTAATATCTTTTTTGTTCATTTAAGATTTCTTTAGGGTCGTTTATGATTGTACCATTTTGTAGTTTTTGAATGGTTTTATTGATGTAGTTGCGGTGTTCTAAAGTAAGGAAAAATTTGCTGTTCTTTTCGCCGTTTTCATACCATTTAGTTTTTGATCGGACTATGGAGGCTAAGGTTTCATTTTTGTTTAGGTTCTCGATTTCCAATTTTGTATTGAAATATTCATTTTGTAGTGCTTCCGTTACATCATCTTGATTTATCTTGGTTTCTAGAATGGATAATTTTGATTTCAATTCAGTATTAGTTTTTTACGCATTTTCGATTTGTAAATAGAATGTGAAATTGTGCTCGAACGTATATCTAATTTAACCATTTCCCAAAGTAAGCCTTTATTATCCAGGTAACCATGCTTTAATTTGGATTCTGCTATACAATCTCGAATTTTAGCTGCGAATTCAGATTCATTTAGCAAGTTGTTATTAAATTTCCACAGACCCTTTCCTCGTTTTTTATTAACTTCGCCTAGTTGTAATTTTAAAATGCTATGATCTGATGAGAGTCCAGGTAAGATCTTAATATCATCAAATTGGTTGAGCAAGTGAGTCGAAATAAGAAAATAATCGAGTCTCGATTGCCTAAAGGGATGTTTTTGCCTCCAAGTGTAACGTTTTATATCGGGGTATGCTGTTCGAAACGTGTCAGTTAAGTCAAATGTATCCATAAAAGTTTCAATTCTCTTGGCATATGAAGTTAACTTATCATTCCCCCCTCCCATTTTATCTAAGCGTGGATTAAGTATTACATTAAAGTCGCCACCTAAAATGATATTTTCGGCATTCATATTCAAAATGTGTTTCTCAATTTCATCAATTAACAGTTTTTGCTGCTTTTCATGATTTTGTGTTGGAGCGTATAAATTAATTAGTAATACTCTTTGTTCATCAAGAGAAATGTCCAAAATAATGTATCTTCCGTTTTTATCTTGCATTTTATCGTGTATTTTATAGTTTAGAGACTTATCTAGGAGTATTGCAACGCCTCTGCTATCATTTGTACCGTGCGAGAAAACTATATCATTACCCCAATTATTTTTCCATATATTCAAATCATTTTCATTTGAATGAGTTTCTTGAAGCATCACAATCGCTGGCGTCATATTTGAAAGGTGATGGAAGATACGTTGTCTTTTTGAATAATCTCTAATACCTCTTACATTATAGGAGATGATACTTAAGTTATTCATTTTGGGACGTATTTAACTGAATTAGAAAAGTGAAGTGTGTTATTATAAATTAAGGTGAATTGTGGATTTGGTATGAAGGTTCAGATGGGAGCATAGTGTGTATTGGCTGAAAAGATTTTCGGTTTCCGCCTGAAGATGAGGTATTTAAATGTCAACGTCTGATTTTCAACAACAAAGAACAATGAAAATAAAGTAACATAACAAACAGAGAGCCGTGCCTTATAAGACACTGATGGCATATCGACACTTTACATGTGTCTTTAATACAAATACAACTCTACAAGCAAAGAAAATCGTTAAAATCAATCTGGATGTTAATAATGTTAAGATATCAGATCAAATGTCAACTAATGTTAATAATGTTAACATATCATATCAAATGTTAAGAAATATTAATAATGTTAATAGATCAGATCAAATGTCAACAAATATTAATAATGGTAACATATCAGATCAAATGTTAACAAATATTAATAATGTTAAAAAATGTTAATAATCTTAGCAGATCAGATCAAATGTCAACAAATGTTAATAATGTTAACAGATCAGATCAAATGTTAACAAATGTTAATGACCTTAACAGATTAGATCAAATATTAATAGTGTTAACAGATCAGATCAAATGTTAACAAATGTTAATAATGTTAACAGATCAGATCAAATGTTAATAATGTTAACATATCAGATCAAATGTTAACATATATTAATAATGTAACGTATCAAATCAAATGTTAAAAATGTTAATAATGTTAAATATCAGATCAAATGTTAACAAATATTAATAATGGTAACATATCAGATTAAATGTTAACAAATATTAATAATGTTAACATATCAAATCAAATGTTAACTAATGTTAATAATGTTAACGTATCAGATCAAATGTTAACAAATATTAATAATATTAACAGATTAGATCAAATGTTAACATATATAAATAATGTTAGCATATCAAATCAAATGTTAACTAATGTTAACATATCAGATCAAATGTTAACAAATATTAATAATCTTAACAGATCAGATCAAATGTTAACAAATGTTAATAACCTTAACAGATCAGATTAAATGTTAATAATGTTAACAGGTCAGATCAAATGTTTACAAATATTGATAATGTTAACAAATCCGATCAAATGTTAACAAATGTTAACAAAGTTAGCAGATCAAATCATGTTCTCAGCTATCAATATGATCATATCGATATTTATATGAGCACACAAGTCAAGAATTGATAATACGCGTTGTTATGATTATAGAAAATGTAGAAGATGGCATGTGATCTAGGATTGGTTGTGGATTGGATAGTCTGTCATAATAAAACACCCTGTATATTTTGATTATAAATATTTAAAATAATGTTGATTCTGGCGATATTGTTGCTCAGAATTTCAAAATCCAGAACTAACAATTTTGTTTTGTCCTTTTAAGGCGGCGTGCTGGTATTCCAACTAAACAAAACTGGTCTGTCCAAATCATATTTAGCTGGGTTTGAGGACACCTTAAAAGCTCATGAAGATGACAAATTATGGACATTAGTCAAAAAAGAATTTGTTCCAAAGCTACTTGGAAACGAGGACGGTTTAAGATACGTATATAGAATAAATTAGATGAGCATATTCACCTTTAAATGGATGAATTCATTTTTGCCACAAATATAAAACGTTGCAAGTGTATGAAAACAAAAGCTGTCCATAAAACTAATGAAGACAGAACTGATCAAAAAGGGTTCGAATAGATAAGCAATAAATATGAAATACAAAAATAAAATCTTAATTTTGAGGTGGGTAGATCCGAAATAAGAGGTCTTATCCAATAAAATATTAGGAAATTCCATTAACAAAAATTGGCCTAAAAATAAATGTTTAATTTTATAAAAAGTCAATAAAAAATAGTGATGATTTTCTGCCCGCAAAGCTTGAATGTTTACCTAAAGTCTGAGAATTTGGAAGATTTTGGTGGGAGATGAATGTCTAGACTAGACAAAACCTCCGCGCTTTGTCTCGTGAACTCTGGATGTACAATTTAATGACCCCATTTAACTCATTACCTTATTAACGTCCAAAACGTATATTTATAAGTACATTTTCCCGTTAAAAAGTATACAATGATTCATAAAATATATCATGTAGATTATAAAGGTAAAAACATTAGAAAAGCATATGCAGCAACATCTATGTTTTGGTCAGTTGTACTCAAAGTCTTTAAAGTTAATTGGTTTTTACTTTGTTTACCAGAAATTTGCAGTCTTCTATATGATGCCAAAAATTACCGAAACATATAAACATCCTAACTAAGCATTACATAGTGTTACATCAGCTGACTTCATATATCACTGTCTGTCACTTAAATCTGAAGAATAATTCTTTCATTTGATTGGTTCAAGAACCTAGCACTTTTATTTGATAACATTATTTCATGCCTAAAAACTGCTCTAATATGATGATAAAACATAGGAAATTAAAGAGAGAATCAGATCTAGCGGGCAGGTAAACAAAAAATAATTGTTTCAATTTTAGAATATTTCTGGCTCATGTCATTCCTTTTCATGTCTATTTTCTAAAAAATCCTTAAAGTGCACACTTGTTTTCAGGAAAACTAAAGATTTTTACAATAAAGTATTATTTTTCTATAAGAATGGTTACCATTCTTATTGTTTGGGAGAATTTAAACGTTTTTCACACATTTTTGCACTTTGAATCTTTAAAAACTTCACCAATCTATAACATATCGTGAATCTTTTGGGAGATATTGAATTTGAGATTGTAAGCAATAGATTGGTGGGTGATTTGTACATGTTGCTCGTAATTTTGTCACCCCCTATAGATATGATTCTGCCTTTAAACTGTTGATATTGAGAAATTTCACACTAAGTTCAAATATCACTAAAACAACTGATGTAATACAAATATTAACTACCATGATTTCATAACAACATAGGATATGGAGAACACAATAATCATAAACATCATCAGTGGGAAAGATCAAAATGACATTGAATCAAGATACATTTGCGAAGCCAAATAATAGTACTGACTTCTCTGACTTCGTCATAATACTAATTATCTAATGACCCGTGACACAGGTGAAATATTCTTTAATAAGGTTTACTGGAAGAAATCCACCCGATTTCTTTTTGTGGATTTTTTGAAAGACAAATTGTATACCAAAACAATTCTCAGACAATTGCTGACCTAAAGAAGCCAATCACTGCTAATGTAATGCCATTACAAGAGCTGAATATGTAAGGGTATCTTGCCATGTGAATCCAGTTCAGCCTTGGGCTCAATTGCGCCCATTGGGAGCATGTAATGTAAATGATCACAGTTCCTGTACCTTAAACATAAAATATTAAACCCATCATCGTCTTACAATGTGTAAACGGAGGCTCGAAATACAAGTTATATACTTGCAATTAATTGACAATGATAACACGTTTTTGGAAAACTTACACCTATTTTAAAAAGACCCGTCTGAAGTAAAAGCGTTGGTCCACAAAGCTGTAGTTTATCTCATGAAGTACACATTCCAATGTCGAGATGAAGTTACTTTTTGCTTGTTGAACAGTTGAACAATGTACTGTACTATTATACAATATACATGTAAAAACTCCGATAGCATTTGGTAGGTTATGTAGGTTATCATTGTATAGAGTGCCTTGTGTAAAACACATTACTGCTCCTGAAGTAATCGATATGTCTGAAACTGATGAAGTTGTGTTTGGTGCTGGGGCAAAGACAGCAGACGAAGCGTATACTTTGTCCAGAAGATCAACACGGGAAAACATCACACGAGCAGAAGTCGGAGACGTTTATAAGCAATGGGCAGCAACTTATGACAAGGTTTGCTTATCAATGCGGTTTGATTTGGCTTATATAAAATATATATCTCCACTCTTGAATATGAAATATCTGCTGGCCAAACCAAATTAGGTCCAGTTAACATTCAGCTAACAAATCAGAACTGAAGGCTCGTAATTTTCCCTGTACACCACTCAATGCAAGCTGTGCTATACTGACGGAGCGATGTGCGCGCGGTGGGGACTATTTCATGAACTAAGGCATGTTGGGCACTCAATTATTATACAAACAGTGACTACCATTGAGGGAAATAGTGCAAAATATTTTTCCCGAGAGAATATCCTGTCCACTGACATGTTCCCGAGGCAACATTCTTCCTTCAAAGTAGACATGATTTGGACATTTACATCCTTCGTTCAGTATTGGAGATCAAGATGACCTGATAAAATTATTTTTGCATTTTGAAATTCATATAGTTTCTGTGTGATTTTATAAAAATTGGCAAAATCGTGGTCAACATTCAAAAAACTAAAATCGTCAATCCGCGATCGTTATTGACGATGTTTTCGAGAAACAGAGTCCAAGTCAATCGACTGGTTCCAAAAGGGCTCATTAATGCGAAATATCGCGACTGTTCAATATTCTAGGGATGGTAAATTTTGCATTTTTTCTCAATACAGGATCTCCTTCTCAATGGTTACAACAGCACAACCCCACTGGCTGCCGCAAGAGAGTTGGCAGAATATATTGAAGACAAGAGTGCACCAATCCTCGATCTTGCTGCTGGGACTGGTATTGTTGGAGGAGAGGTAAGAATTGTAATCTTCTCAATGGTTATAACAGCATTACACCACTGGTTGCTGCAATGGTGTTGGAGAAGAGGTAAGAACTAGAACACAGTTTGCTGATCGGTTAACCCTGCCTTGGTTTTCAATCTAATTCATATATTGATATATTGTGTTTTTACAGTTGAAGAGATTGGGCTTCACTCACATAGACGCCTTAGATGCCAGCCAAGCAATGCTCGACAAGGCCACAGAGAAAAATGTCTACAAAAGGCTTATATGTGACTACATGGGACCAAACAGATTGGATATTAAAGACAGTATGTGTAATAAAATAACAGATTTTCGAACACGAGTACTTTAAACATATTTTCCATGTGTTAGTTGTCGGTAGAAAGAAAAATATAAGTATTAAATTAATTTGATTTTGCACATGGAAAAGCTCAATAAACATACAAACTTTGCGATAACCTGATAGCCTTTTCAGTACGTTCCACGTCATCAGTTTAGTGTTTTGTGGCACAAACATGAAAATATATTTCCTAGTATATGTTAGAAGTTTGGTGAAGCAGTTGACGTGGTCCAAGTACTCTCACAACAGAAACTATCATATCATCAATAAAGGATAAAGTTCTTTGCTTTTCCGCACCAAATGTATAGAGGGGGCTCAACAGAAACTGGTTTCCAAAATGCAATAATAATTATTGTGGATAGTGAATCTTGAACAACATCTTTTATATGAATGATGTGGACGCTATCTTAGTGGTAACTACACATTTATAGATATATTTGAAGACCCCTAATGGCTTAGTTTCAGAAATATCACATATTTATTAAATTGAGAAATGACCGTTAAATCCGCACCATCCGCTCATTCATGCCGCACCCAATATTGCTCTCAGGCTCCGTCTGCATAGGGTGGAGTATATCTCGGTTTATACAGTCTCGGTCATTCCATGTCTCCAGTATTCAGGTATTATGTTTTCATATTTCCAGATACGTATGAGGGTGCTGTGGCAAATGGTTGCTTTCTAGAAGGTCACGCAAAACAGGATTGCTTCTTAGAAATCATAAGAGTTGTTAAACCAGGTAATGTAATATTAAATGTGACATCATGACGTATTAACCTACGTAATTGACCAGCCACATAAAAGATTCTTGGTCCTCTGCAATATAGCAGATCAATTACACGGTCATTAACCACCATTTTTATACACCACTGGAAATATTATTGTTTAAAATTTCAAAATCCATAGCTAACAAATGTATATTATCATTTTAAGCTGGTGTACTGGTTTTCCATCTGAACAAGACTGCTCTGTCTAAGCCATATTTGGCTGGATTTGAGGACACATTAAAAGCTCACGAGGACAACAAATTATGGACATTGTTGAAAAAAGAATTTGTTCCAAATATAATTGGAAACGATGATGGTTTGAGATACGTTTATAAAATTGATTAGATGAGCATATTCTGTCATCTCTGTGGCTTTTGAAAGGATAAATTCAATTTTGCCACAAATATAAAACGTTGCAACTTGCAAGTATATTGAAACAATAACTGTCCGTAAAGCTAAGGAAGACAAATCCGATTTAAGGCGACGCTATATTATATAAAAAGTACAAAAAATGACTGCCATATTTTTTTGATAAAGACACATGTTTTTAAAATCTGTTTACCTTGTATATGAGTTGTGTATCTTGACTAATGAAACATGTCAAAGTTAACATCACACATAAACGCATTTTTCCAAACTATGAATTGGAGGTGCATGGATCCCCAAAGCTAGCATGAAGAGTGCGAAGTGAGGCTAATTTTTGAAAGTTTCAAGGAGTAGCCTTGCAACAGTCACACATTTGCAAGAGTCTAAAATTTCCACAAATCATCTTACCTTTCCCAGGAACAACGGAGGAGCATGAAAATGTGCACTTCTTGCATTGTTAGAGTATAATAAAGCTCAAACCATTGTAAATTCTAAATATTTCATGTCCACATTTTGTTTGCCGGAACTACTTCTAGACTTCCTGATTAATCCTCATGCAAGTTTTGTGACTACACCAAGTGGCATGGATTATCACTTGTATGTTTTATCTATTACAGTGTTATTATCATGATAGATACATGATAGAGGTTTTATGAATGATAAACAATGGAAACATGAATGAAGATAACTCTGGACTAAAAAATAGTTCCAGGAAACAAAATGGTGGACATGAAATATTTAGAATTCACAATGGTTTGAGCTTTATTATACTCTAACAATGCAAGAAGTACACATTTTCGTGCTCCTTCGTTGTTCCTTGGTAAGGTAAGACTATATCTGGAAATTTTGAATTCTTGCAAATGTGTGTCTGTTGCAAGGCTACTCCTTGAAACTTTCAAAAATAGCCTCACTTCGCACTCTTCATGCTAGCTTTTGGGAGCCATACACCTCCAATTCATAGTTATGAAAAAATGCGTTTAAATGTGAGGTTTTCTTTTATGTGTCTCTTTAGTCAGGAAATGCATTCACATACAAGGAAAACAGTATACAAAATCTTCTGACTTTATCAAAAAAATATGGCTCCCATGTTTTTGTACTTTTGATTAACTTAAATGTCACCTTAATAGGGTTCGAATAGATAATTAATAAAATATAAAAATAATAGAAATGGAAGTACTGAACTACTAGAGTGTTTCAGATCACAACGTTCCTTTAAACACGATGTTACAGCAAAATAGGAAAACGTTCAAACTGGTCCGTCGGCCATCCTTTCCGTCCAATTGGATTACATTGAGTGCGACGCCCACTTTTTAATGGAAAACCTTGTTTCGCACCTTCTTTGCTAATCATTTGCCGGGAATGGTTTGAACCAATTTTCCTGTTATGAGCACTCACATGAGCACTCTTTTTTAGCGTTTACATCCGTTGGAATGAGTCTTATTCGTCGGAAAATTTTGAACATGTTTAAAAATTAGCGCCGAATAAAAGTTTCGTGTATCATTCGTTGTAATTCGTTTCAATGGGTTTTATTCAAACACATCTCGACGAACAGAGATAAGAGAAAGAGATAAGAGATTGCATGATTTGTATTTCACTGGAACGATCAATTATGATAAAGCCGCTCGGTTGAATTAGCGAACAGATCGTAGGTCATTCGTTCTTGCTGCTCAATAGGCAGATTAACCCGAGGCCTCATTATTAGTTGGTCGCACAATTTTTGCGTTTCGTCTGCACTGAACGTAATGCTTGAGTTGCGTGATATTATCAGTTGAGCGCAATCGCAGACGCAAAGCAAACGCAAAACAATAGAAACGCAAAGTAGCCCGCAAGTTTAAAAGTGTAATCTGGCGGGAAGTACAAATCGTCAAATTCTAAATACACCCATAATCACAAACTATAAATATGTGTTCGAATTTTCAATTCTTATATCGTTGGTTCAACTTATACTTATGTATTCCAACCGAATGCATGGTTTGTTGATCGTGGTCAAACGAAAATGATGGCTGCGATAATAATATCAAATGTATAGATCCGTTGGATCTATACACCTTATCAAAAGTCATAGACTCTGCGGGGCGCTTTGGAAGACAACGGGGCATTTCAAAATTGCTGCGTTTCATGTTATAAATATGTTGATGCAGCGATGGAGGGTTGTAATGGGAGTCCTTGCGCAGAATATGGGGGAGAGTGATAGAAGAACTGGCGAGATATCAAAATTGTGGTTGAATTTTCTGAGGATTTGCAACTTCTCACATCTGGGGACCAAAACGCCGCTTTAAACGAGGGACTTTGTAAACAAAAGCAATGTCTTGACTGAAAGGTGTTTCTGTGAAGGTTTTAACGCAACAAGTTTGAAAAAAAACGGCGTAGTGTGAGACTCACAATCATTGATTTTCCAAAGAAAGGGTAGATTTGAAATTCAAATTTACGGTTTTGCGTGAGCTAGTACCGCGTGTGAATGGGGGAGCTAAGGTTACCAATTTTTTGGAGTGGAATGTAATTCTTAAATATCTACCTAATCTAAGCAAAAGTGTCAAACAGAAATGAGTAGAATTTATAATTGGACCTGGCAAGAAAGAGCAAAATCTAAGTGTAAACCAGTCATATATATAGAAAAACAAACCTCATATATCCCAACCAACCAGATACAGGCCTCCTAGACTTCCAACAACGCGAACATCAGTTCTGATACCGCGAACTACGTTCCTTGCACTCGAACCACGAATCTCATATCGCGAACGTGAAATCTTATGTCGCGCACCACCATTTCCTTGTTTCCGAACATATTTCTTATACCGCGCACAGAGATCCGTTATCGCGAACCACGCATCTGATCGAAAAAAAGTCCGTTATTTTGTTCGTATTATTACGCAGAAGTAAAATTCCAACGAGATGTTTTCATATGGAATTCGGTAGAAATATTTTCCAAGTTTTGCATGCATGTGAATGAATATCCACTCATTGACGATAACGGTATTTTCAAGCTCTAGGAAACACAAAATATTGGGACTACCTTGCAATCACGCGCATTGACATTTTCAGTGAAAGGGCTGGGTAATAACAACAAAAACAAAAACCTGACTTTTGAGTAACAACACGTATGGCCAAATTAAAGAACAGCTTTTTCCAATTTTGTCCATTTGAGCCGATGATTGTATCATAATAAAGAAATGAGTTACCCTACAGTATGTACAATATTCCTAATTTCATAGAATACTTGATGTGCTATATCTGTAGCTCCAGCTACTGATAATTTGAAGATGCTACCCTTTGCCTGTAAAACGTTTTAGATGAAAACTTAACTTAAATGTTGCCCCCCCCCCCCATTACGGCTTGTGGGATTAACTGTTTACATACAGCGGGAAAATAACAAACTATCATCCTAATAAAGATGTTAACACTTGGTTTTTGTTTCAAAACATATCAAATGACTACTAAATCGTAATTTTAGGGTAAGGGCTAAGAATACTTTATCCGTCTAATCTTTGACCGTCTGACATAAATGTGTGTTGACGAGTCCTGTAGTTAATTAATCTTGGTTTTCAAAACGAAGCTTTCATTGTGGGCTGTTCTGCCCCATCCATGGGCCATTTTGCCCTACTCTCAACATTATTTTCGAGCACTCTGAAAAATCACAGAAAATGTGAAATATAATCCCTTCATAAGATGGAACATCAAAGTTCGCGATGATTGACAGATTAGAAAAACCTCTGCACGGATCAAATTATTATGAGGGTCGTTTTGCCCCATGTTCCCGAAAAATTCCTGACTCCAGCAACCAGGACAATAT